AAAAAAAAAAAAAAAAGGACATGCTGACCATCCAAACAATCTCTGCGGGAGATCTTTCCAAAGACAAGGCCTCCCCGGGCTGAACACAAACTATGAGAAATAAGGGCCTGACAGGAGGGAAGAACACTGTGAGCGATCCTGAGCGCACCACCGGGCTCTCGGGGGCTCCTCCTCAGAGCAGAGGGGGCAGGGCTGCTGCAATTAATAGAGCACAGAACTCCAGCCAGTTTAAAATGATCCACTACTCCCAATTAAATGCTCTTTGAAGAATCTGAGCTGAAACTACTCTAATCATGGAATGCACAGTAGTTATCCTGTGAAATGACACTGTTCGTGAAACACTGTACCCCTCTTTTGAGACAAAAATGAAATGCCATTAACATACAGTATTTGCACAGTCAAAGCACAGTTCTGGTTCGAGCAGAAAATGCACTGTCACTGCAACTGCTCTGTATGAAGTGTCAATAGGTCAAGTTTCAGCTCTTCTTATGAACAATACAGACAGAGATACAGATAAAATTAGGCACACATCGTATCTGATTACTCCTAGGTAGAAACTAGCATGCCAACTACTAATGGCCCATTTTCACCCTAGAAGTGGAAAGGGTCCATTTGGTTTCTAATGAGGTAATCTAGAAGATTACCTCTAGAGAAGAAAATGTTATGCTTACATCATCTCTATACTTGGACTTGTGTATCACCACCGCTTTGGAAGGGACAGTGGACTCAGGTCTCCGGATATTAAACTCAGGCTTTGGTCTGGTCTGTTCTTGAAGATTTTTCCATTCATCGAGGGTCATCTCTTGAACTTGGGTTTCCTCTTCTAACTCCAACTCAGGAACTCTATGAAGAAGTAGAAGTTTTTGATGGGTCTAAAATGTCTATTTCCTCAAAGACAAAGTCATTACTATTCGTTTACCATACTTTCACGGTCCCGCATATCAAATTTACATGAGGTAAGACAATCTCTGAACCATAAAGCTTCCTTATTTTAATCATTTTATGCCATCACTGCCAACTGAAGGTAATTCCTGTCTGTTTTCTTTTTTTTAAATAATCTCTATGCCCAATGTGGGGCTCGTTACTCACACGCCCGAGATCAGGAGCCGCACATCCCACCAACTGAGCCAGCCAAGCACCCCACTTCCTGTCTGCTTCAAAACTGTCTTTGAAAAATGGGAACATCACCATCCCATTAACATTACACTTCACCTCCAGGCAGCCCCTTCTCAGATGGCATCATACACAAAATGAGACAACTGCAGACGAAAAAGGAGAAGCTCTTGCATCAGAACAAATATAGAGGCAACCATGAACAGTTATAAAACAGTGGGTTATGAATACATAGTTTTGTAAATATCTTCTTTAAATTCATGCGATTTTAAAAGAAAACAGAGGATATATATATCAATGGACTAGAATTCGGAGACCAGAAATAAATCCTCACATTTACAATAGATTGATTTTTTCCAAGCCGGTGCCAAAGACAATTCAGAGGAGAAAGCAGTCTTTTCAACAAATGGTGCTGGAAAAACAGGATATCCACATGCAAAAGAAGGAAGCTGGATCCCTACCTCACACCATAAATATAAGAGTTAGAAATATAAACCCCTAGAAGATGACACAGGCATAAATCTCCATGATCTTAGTTAGATTAGGCAGTGGTGACACCAAAAGTGTATGCAGAAAAAGAGAAAGTAGATAAACTGGACATCACCAAAACTTCTGAAAACTTTTGTGCTGCAAAGGACACCATTAAGAAAGTGAAAAGACAACCCATGGAATGTTAGAAAATATTTGCAAATCATGTATCTGATAAGGGACTTACATCTTGAACACACAAAGGACTCTTACAACTCAATGAAAAGAAATAACCCAATTGAAAAATAGGCAAGGCTCTGAATAGACTTTTTCCAAAGAAGATCTACAAATAGCCAATAAGACGCTCAATATCATTAGCCATCGGGGAAATGCAAATCAAAACCACAATGACTTATATCCATTCCATACTCAGTAGGACGATTAGGATAAAAAAAGACATTTAACAGGTGTTGGTGAGGATGTGGAGAACTTGGAACCATATTCATACACTGCTGGTGGGAATATGAAATGGTGTGGCCACTTTGGAAAACAGTCTGGCAAATCCTCAAAATGTAGTCTAGAGTTACCATCTGACCTAGCAATATCACTCCTAGATATACACCCAGAGAAATGACAACATGTGTCCATGTGAAAACACAAATGGCAAATCGATAATGCTGTTTGTAGAGCATTATTCATAATAGCCCAAAAGTGGAAACAGCTTGAATGTCCATCAACTGATGAAAAGAGACACAAAATGTGGTATATATCTAATACCATGGAAAATTATTTGGCTATAAGAAGAAATGAAGTACTGATACATGTTACAACACGAATAAGCCTTGAAGACCTTATGCCAAACGAAATAAACCAGGCACAAAAAGTTTATGTACGATTCCATTTATATGAAATATCCAGAAAAAGCAAATTCATAGACACAAAAAGCAGATGAGTGGTAGCCAGGGACTGGGGGCAGGGAGGCCAGGGAATGGCTGCTTAATGGATATAAGGTGACGAAAACATTCTGGAACTAGGTAACAGTGATGGTTGCATAACACTGTGAATGCAGTAAATGTCAGTTGTACACTTTAAAATTATTAAAATTGTAAATTTTATGTTATATGTATTTAGCACCAAAAAGAAAATATATGAAAAAGAAAGAAATGAAGCACTGACACATGCTATGGCATGGATGAACCTGAAAACATAATGCTAAGTGAAATAAGCCAGGCCCAAAAGGACAAATATTATATTCCACTTATATGAGGTACATACAACAGGCAAATTCATAGAGATATAGAACGGAGGTTACCAGTGGCTAAGGGGAGGGAGTCAGGGGGATTTATTATTTCATGGATACAGTGTTACTATTTGTGATGACGAAAATGTTCTGGAGATGGATGGTGGTAATGGTTGCACACGGTGTGAATGTAATTAATACCATTAAACTGTACATTCACAAGTGGTTAAAATGGCGATTTTTATGTTATATATGTTTTACCACAATTTTTAAAAATAAATAATATACCCCAAACCATTGAACTGTACAGTAGGCTGAATTTTATAGTATGGGAATCATATCTCAATAAAGTTTGAAAGAAAAAAAATTAGGTGATGAATGGGAAGGGAATCAAATCCATAATACCTTCACAGAAGGGCTAATGTGACTGACGGTCCTAGGTTATAGGTTTATGATACAAAAACTATTAGTGAAATCAGGAGACAAACCTAATTATAGAGCATCCAAAACAGGCATATTTATAAAGTAACTTTAAAATATCAAGCAAATGGTAGAAAAAACACCAGAGCAGTGGTTGCCTCTGAAGGAGCATGAGGGAACTGTCTGGCATGGTGGTAATATTCTATATTTTGATAGTGGAGTTTGGGTTCCACAAGTTTGTCAAAACAATGATTGTAAACTAATTTTTATACATTTCACAATGTATAAAACTTAGTTTTATATCAGTTTAGTTGGTAAATTAGGTGTTTAAAATTCTTTAAACTTTGCTATGTTGGAAATTTTTCATAATAAAATGTTAGAAAAATGCTAAATATTAAAATATCCCTATATATATATATATGCAAAAATATGAAAAGACATTAAGAATCTGTAATAGCAAAATACTGTAAATAACCCAAACTCGTCTAGAGAGAAATTTGGTAGAAAAATTATGGATATTAAACATGAATAGTAAACCGCTTAAAAAGGAATGAAGAATATGTCTATATATTACTATAGAGCATCTCCCCGTATATGTTCATGAAAAAGCAAAGTGGAATGTACATTACCATTCACCTAAGAAATAGTGAGACATACAAATGTATCAGGTATCTCCCCCTTTCTGGAAGTTCACATTAAACTTTTTTTTTTTTTTAAAGATTTTATTTATTTATTTGAGAGAGAGAATGAGAGAGAGAGAGCACGAGAGGGAAGAGGGTCAGAGGGAGAAGCAGACTCCCTGCCAAGCAGGGAGCCCGATGCGGGACTCGATCCCAGGACTCCAGGATCATGACCTGAGCCGAAGGCAGACGCTTAACCAAGTGAGCCACCCAACCGACTGAGCCACCCTCACATTAAACTTTTACAAAAAGCCTAGAACAGGGGCGCCTGGGTGGCTCAGTTGGTTAAGTGACTGCCATTCAGCTCAGGTCATGATCCTGGAGTCCCAGGATCGAGTCCCACGTCGGGCTCCCTGCTCAGCATGGAGTCCGCTTCTCCCTCTGACCCTTCCCCCTTCTCATGTGCTCTCTCTTTCTCTCTCAAATAAATGAATAAATAAAACCTTAAAAAAAAAAAAAGCCTACATCAGTACCAGTTTCTGCAAACTGAAAGAATTCCAAAGAGGACTTGAGCTTTTATGAAAAAAGGCAAAAAAGTGAAAAATAGTATTCAGCTTTTATTGTGCAGTGGGACAGAGTGTATCCTAAGCAGAAAGAACAGCCTCAGCAAGCTCATTCCCTGGGAACTACACTCAGTATATCGCAGCATCAAGCTGACAGCTTTGAACTGTGTCTGGGAGCATCTGTGCTTTATCTCAATTTATTTTGTGCATCTGTTAACAAGATGTGTCCTAAAGTATTAGAAAAGCCTAAGCAGTTAATTTTTGGGTCTAGGAATGCTCAAAAAACTTTTAATAAAAATTAATGGTAATCACTTCTTTGTTCTATGCCATTTTGGCCTATGAAATGTTTCAAAGGAATGCCCTACTTTCGGATAGCAGGGGAAATCTGTATACATAGAGGTTTTTTGGGTTTTTTTT